TTAGATATCTTCATCCCAGAGAAAAAGATGAACATAGACTAACAGGTTTGAAAGAGTATGAGTATTCACTTAATACTAAAGGACTTAAATTTCCAATGAAATTAAAAGACATTACTAAATTTGAAAAACTTAATCCAGAAATTCCAGGAATTAATGTTTTTTTCTATGAATGAAAACAATAAATTTTATCCTTTAAGAATGGCGCAAAAGGATTGTATTAATACAATAGATTTATTTTTGTATGAAGAAGATGGTGTTAGCCATTATTCACTAATTAAAAATTTTAATCGTTTGATAAAGTCGCAAAAAACTTCAAGTAAAAATGGTAAGATATTTATTTGTAAAAAGTGTTTTACTCATTACACTAAAGAAGAATTATTAAAAAAACATATTTCATATTGTTTGAATAACGAGACAGTTTCTGTAAAAATGCCTTTATCAGGGACAATGTTAAATGTCAAAAATCACCACAAACAACTTCCTATTCCTTTTGTAGCTTATGCGGATTTTGAGTGCTTTACTAAACCGATGAATACTTGCTGTCCTAATCCAAAAGACTCTTATAATTACAATTACCAAAAACATGAGCCATCAGAATTTTGTATTTTTATTAAAGGAGTGGTTGATAAAAAAATCAAACCAATTATTTATTCGAAAACAGAAGAAGATGAAGATATACCAAAAATATTTGTAGAAAAACTCTCAGAAGCAACTAGAGGTATTTATAATGATTTTTATCGTAAACCAAAACCTCTTATACTAAGCAAAGAAGAACAAAAATCATTTAACAAAGCGGAAATTTGTCATATTTGTAACAAAGAATTATTGGAAGACAAAGTTAGAGATCATTGTCATTTTACAGGTCAGTACCGTGGTGCTGCTCACAACGGTTGTAATCTTAATTGTAGGAAACCTTTGATCCTTCCAGTTATATTTCATAATCTTCAAGGGTATGATGCTCATTTGTTTATAAAACAACTCGCAACTTTACCAGGAGATTTAAATTGTATTCCTTCAACTGAAGAAAAATACATATCCTTTTCTAAAAAGATTAAAGTTGATGAGTACAGGTCTAAAAAAAACTGATCAAATGGTGTCTTTGTATTTTGAAATTCGTTTTATAGATTCGTTTAAGTTTCTTCAAACATCACTTGCTAATCTTGTTTCAAATTTACAACCTTGTGATTTTCATAACACAAAACGAGAATTTAAGAAAAATGTAGATTTACTTACACGGAAGGGAGTTTATCCTTATGATTATGTTTCATCGCTTGAAAAACTATCCGAAACACAATTACCACCAAAAGAAGAATTTTATTCAAAACTAAACGACGAGGACATAACCGAAGATGATTACCAACACGCAATAAACGTGTGGAATACTTTTAAATGTAAATCATTAAGAGATTATCACAATCTTTACCTAAAGTCTGATGTCCTACTTTTGTCAGATGTATTTGAAAACTTTAGAAAAACACCTGGTTTAGCTTGGGATGCATGTCTCAAAGAAACAGGGCAGGAATTACAATTATTACATGATTATGATATGTTAATGATGATAGAAAAAGGTATTCGTGGTGGTATAACTCACATATCAAAAAGATACGCAGAAGCGAATAACAAATATATGAAATCTTACAATCCTGATGAGGAGTCTAGTTATATTCAATATCTCGACGCAAACAATCTTTATGGTTGGGCGATGTCTCAATCACTTCCAACACATGGATTTAAATGGATTAATAACATTACAAAAGAAAAAGTGATGGAAATCCTTGAAAAAACAAATCATATTATGTTAAATCGTGGAAGAAAAGGATATGTATTTGAAGTTGATTTGGAATATCCTTCTTCACTATGGGAGGAGCATAATGACTATCCGCTTGCACCTGAGAAATTGATTGTTAATGGAGTTGAAAAATTAATTTGTCATTTTAAACCAAGAAAAAACTATGTTGTTCATTATGGAAATCTTAAACAATATCTTGAGATGGGAATGAGAATAACTGCGGTTCATAGAGGAATATCTTTTTGCCAAAGTCCATGGATGGAGCCATATATACGAAAGAACACTGAACTTAGAAAAACAGCATCTAACAGTTTTGAGAAAGACTTTTTCAAACTTATGAATAATTCAGTGTTTGGAAAAACAATAGAAAATATACGATAAAGACAAAATATAGAACTAGTTGATAATCGAAAGAGAGCTACTAAACTAACAAGTCGACCAAACTTTGAAAGGGCTACGATATTTGATAAAAGTCTTATAGCAGTTCATTTGAAAAAAACCAAAATTTATTTTAACAAACCAGTATATGTTGGTCAAGCAATTCTTGATTTGTCAAAAACATTAATGTTTGATTTTCATTATAACTACATAAAAGATAAATACAATAATAAAGCTGAGTTATTATTCACAGATACAGACTCATTGATGTATCAAATTTACACAGATGATTTTTATAAAGATATATCAGATGATATATTAACCAAGTTTGACACTTCTAATTACCCCCCTAATCATCCTTCTGGAATATTGTCAGGAGTTAATAAAAAAGTAATTGGAATGTTTAAAGATGAAGTAGCAGGGAAACAAATAACTTGTTTTGTTGGATTACGACCAAAACTTTATAGTTTTAGAATAGAAGAGGATAAAGAGGTGCGAAAATGTAAAGGAATAAAGAAAAATGTTGTGAAAAAGTCATTAGATTTTGATGACTATGTTCAATGTTTATTTTTAGGTAAAAAACAAATGAGAAAAATGAATATAATAAGAAGTGAGAATCATGATATATATTCAAAAGAAGTTAACAAAGTAGCTTTGAGTAATGAAGATGATAAGCGTGAGGTTCTTTTGGGAAAGGTAAAAACCATAGCTTTAAGATAAGTGAATTTAATAAAAATGAAAATAAATAAATGTCTTACACAGAAGAAGAAATAAAGAAATATTTGGAAATAATAAAGGATTATAATATTAATATTTCACCAGAGAAATCAAATTTGAAAGCTAAATGTACTAACTGTGAAAACAGCACATCTTTTACCATTGATTACGGTTATAAAATTTGTGATGAATGTGGAGTAGCAAACGGACATGTATTAGGCTTTTACGATAATAAAGATCACGAAAGATTATTTTATCGAAAAAAGAGTGTATATCAGCGTAAGTATCACTATGAGAAAAAGGTAGATCAAATTTCTAAAAGAATAAACCTAACCAACGAACAAAAAAACGAACTTTACAGTAAGTTAATGGAAATAGACAATCATGTCATGGAAATACTAAACAAAGAATACAACAGAAAGAGAATGATAAGTATAGTATATTTAATTAAAAAACTTTTGGATGAGATGGGGGGTGAATCGAACATAGCTAGCAAACTAATTTATCTTAATATTTCACCAGAAACTTTAAATAATTATGAAAATTGGTGGGATAGTTATAAATCACTCAAACCTGATTAGATTTTAATATAATTTTGATATTAAAATCACTGTTTACTTAGTTGAAACTTTTTTTCATACCTACTAAAAAATCTATCTGCTATAGGTGTTTGGTCGATTATCATTTCATCTACCAACTTCATGCGATCAACAAACTCTTGTTTATCCCACTCATCTCCCCGAAGAGCTGCTCGCAGTTCAACAAGTACTTTTTCATAAGTAGTGAAAGCAATTCTTGTCATTTCAATTTTTCTCTTATAATTATTTTTCTTTCCTATTCCTGTCACTATTAATCCAGCGCCATTTACTACTCCGAGAACAACAGGGTTTAGAGTTATCCCACCAGAAATAGTTCCTATTGCAACCAAACATATCCCAGAAATTGTAAAAACATCATCAAGAAATTTATAACTCTTATACGATTTCTTAAAACACCAGTATTTTTTGTGGTAGTGTTTATAAAAGTCTTTGAGGGTTTTAACGTCTGATTCTGACAGAGATTTGTCTATGTGATTAAAATCAAAGATATCCTTCATTTTATTCTTTTGTTTATATTATTACCCCTCCCTTTGCTACGCCAACTATCTATATAACATAACTACCATTTAACTTTTCTTGAAGCATTACTTTATGATATTGCTCAGAGTCGTCGTCGTAAAAGTTAGAAGAAAACATTATTTTGCTTAAAACTCCATCTTGATTTGTAAAAAAAAAACTCTTGTTCGTTGGAGTAACGAACGGATTGTAAACTTAATATTGCGCTGTAGTTACTTATTTTAACTTTTGTAATATTTGAGTTAAAATTTTCTGTTAACCATAAAACAATTTTTTTTCCATCAAAATCATTTGGTAAGGTTAAAGAACTTCTTAGTTTATTAACACTCAATTCTAATATTTTACTAGTATTAAAATATCTTAATGCTAATAAGTCATTATTTATATTATTTGCATCATATTTATTTAAATAAAATCTTATATTATTTTTATGATAAAAAACAAGACATAAAGTATATTTTGTTATACCATTAGAAGGATTAAAACTAATAGTATAATTTTTTATATTTAGTCCTTCTTTTTTTATATCATCTATGGTTTTATCAGGTATTCTAATATCTCTTAAAGTATTACCACTACTTGAAGATAAATAGTTAAAAACAATACCAGATGAGGTACTACTTAATTTGTAATTAGCGGCATTAGTAAAATCATAAACTTCTTCAAAAATTTCCCTATAAAGATTGTTTATAGTGTGAGGATTCAATTCCTTTACCATTCCAACTGTTGCTACGCTATTGTTATTGTTTCTATCAAGATTGACGTTCAATATTTTTTTATTATTTGCATTAATATCAACATTGTACACCACTTGTGTTGCTTTGATATCAAATGCTGTGTGATAGTCGTAAACTTTATCTGGATCGATATTGCTAAATGTTCCCACAATTCCATAAGCAATTAAATAAACTCCAAGAAACTGTCTCGGATAAAAGGCTAAGTCAGTTCCATCTTGTGGTATATCAACCAAAAAATGAAGAAAGAACTTATTACCAGTCGACAACTTCTTAAAATTAACTATTATTCTATGGCAATACATAAATTGTGGTTGCCCATTTGATTGTGTGTACCTATGCGAAAGTTTTCTTACACTGACATTTCCAATTGATAATCCTGTTGAAGTTCCTTTGTCTACGCTTATTTGAGACTTATGCCATAGAACGTATTCAGTGTTAAGTATTTCCAAACACAGTGTGTATTCGGTATTTGCAGTTAACCTGTAAAAGTTGATCCCCATTTCATATTTGTACCCACCTTGAGAATTTTTGTTTATTCCCATAAAAATGACTTTGTGGTTATAGTCATGAAAGTTTCCTTTATTTTTTTATTATCCATGTTTATATTATTAGTCATTGTAGATGAACCATCACGGGCAACATACTTTAAATCTGTAAAAGCTAATGGTGTTGGTTGATTACCTCCATTCGGAGCTGGTAGATTAAATATTCGATTATTATCCATATTGAGATTACCTTTCATTGGGTAGGAACCATCTCTGTCAACAAATGTGTTGTCTACGTAAATTTTTGTGGCTGGATCTTTTCCATCCAGTGGAGTGCTAAGATTTGTAATTCGGTATGTATCCTTCATATCAATGTTTGAATCAACTGTTAGCCTTGTTGTTGTGAGTGATCTGCTGGAATTATCATCTACGTATTTTTTTGTAGCGGATCTTCATCATCACTTGGTGCTCCTACATTTGTGAGTCTTTTTTTATTAATATCATAATTTCCATTTGCGGTTAGACTAAATCCAACTCCTGGAGTGCCCTGAATTCCTTTAGCAAAAGGATGATCAAAAGATTGTTCGTTAAATATTCCCATTTTATTATTAGGATAGATTACTATTTAAGGGAGGGGTAATAGGGGAACCGTAGGTTCACCTATCTAGATTACTAGTAAAGTTTTTAGCAATACGTTTACTTGGTTTATCAACGTATAGAAATGTAAATGGTCTTTTTGTTGCTGCTTTATATGTTTCTTTGTCAACTCCTAATTCGGATGATATTCTGTTTGCTTCCCTTGATGATGGAAATTCATACAAACAATAGTGAGAACAATTTAGTCGAATATCCTTTGGAGTTTTGTAAAATGATTGACTGAGATAAATCACAGAACAATTCTTATGTCGTCCTTGAATGAAATAATCAATAAGACGCCTCTGGTTTTTATCACAGACGTAATCATCAAATATTACAAGTTTTTGATTGTCTTCGTAATCCATTTCTGTAACCGGGGTTATTTCATCGTTACTCACATGAAGTATTTCATATCCAAGTTTACTACTTAACTCCCTCATTTTTTTAATTAACTTTTGATACTTATCCTGTTCTAGATTACGTGCGTAAAGATAAATCTCATCGTAATACAACAGTGGTTTAATTAACATATGATACAAAAGATTAGTCTTACCACTTCCACCGTTTCCACAAATTAACATTCGAAAAGTAGCCGCCGGCATAAAAGGAAATAACTGTTTATATTTTTTATCAATGTCATCGGTACTATCATAGTTTGGTATTTCCATTTATCTAAAGATTAAATAATTTTTGTAGCAATCCCCCATTTTTGTAACAAGCAGGGGGGTTTTAAGGGGGGAGGCACTCCCCCCACCATTTTATTTAATCAATAGATAAAATGGATATAGAAGAAGCCAAAAAATTTGCGAGAAATAAAATAGAAGCCGATGATTTGTTACTACAGGTGAGAAACGTTATAAAAACAACAAAATGGCAAAAACAAGATATGCGAGAAGGTTTTAAAGAGACATTTAAACCACTTATTAAATCTCAAGATAGCATTAAAAAAAGTATCGACGAGCAACAAAACGCAACTATAGCACAACTTCAAGCTAATCAACCTGCTCTTACACAAGGACTTAATCAAAACAGGATGGCTATAACTGAGGGATTTGATAAACTTGATGAGGTAAAAAGATGGGATTTGGCTCAATTACCTGGTTTTGAGGCGATTGAAGAGCCTAAAGAAGACGAAGAAGCCAAAGAAGTTTTACCCTCTACATCAAAGGAAGGACCAAAAATAGCAAAATTTACACCTGAAGACCTCGATAGAAATTTAATGAATAAAGAAGCACAAGATATACTCAAACTTAATGAATACCACAAACTCCCTTCTGAGTATTTTGAAGAGGATGTTTCTACTATTGATAATTTAATTGATGGAGTTAATAGTGATTTAGAAGAATTTAATAAAAGATTAAAAAGTACCGCGGATTTTGTACGAGACTCAAACGGTTATGTTTTAGCTCAACCAAAAAGTAAAAGACCACGAGAAGAAACATTAAATAACATAAAAAATTATAACATATTAAGCATTTATGCATCAAATTTAAGTAATCTTAAGCTTTACAAAACAAAATCTGGATCTGGAATGATTTACTTTAACAACCCACAACAACTTCTAGACAGACTTGAACTACTCGGTGGTTCAATTCTTGCTGGGAATAATGGTGTGATAAATGAGTTTTCTCAAATAGCACATATTCTCAACCAAATGAAAGTAATCTCAAAAAAACAACTAAATGACTTACTAAAAATAGGTGAACCTACGGTTCCCCTATAACCCCTCCCTTAAAAGGAATATAAACATTAGATAAAATGGAAGAACGAGCTATTCACATTTCTTCAATAAACAGAGAAAAATGAGGAACAAGCAGACCTGGTGATTTTACTATCAAATTTAACCCATCTTTGAAACTTGACCCTGAAATGAAACACCAACTTGCTCTTGATCGGTTGTCCATGACTTATTCTTGGTACAACATTAGAAGTGATTATGGAAACAATAAAATTAAATACCCTCACGATGGTACCAACTGGCAAACAATTACTTTTACAGATGGAATGTATTCCAACTCAGATATCAATGATTACATTCATCAATATATGTCTCAAAAGTCTCATCACTCAACAGATTCAAGTGGAAAGAAAACTTATTCAATCAATCTAACTTTTATACTATCTACCTATCGAGTGTTAGTATCACTTGATTTGAGAGGAACAGAATTTGGAGACGTGATTGGATTTGAAAAGAAACTCATAACAAAAACAGAGTATGGATCAAAACTACCAAATATCACAAATTCGATTGATGTGTTAAATATCAACACAACCGCAATAACTGATAGTATTGTAAATGGAATAAATACAAATACCATTGCTGTGATACCAACTGATAATCTCACAAGGTCTTATCCATTTACTTTTGAACCTAAAAGACCATTATATTGTCCTGTCTCTTCATTTCACATTGATGAAATGAGAATCTCTGTGACAGACTCACTTGGAAGACCTGTAAATTTTAATGGTATAGATTGGTTTATGACTTTGATACTTCAATCGAAGTAATACTTAGCAGTTATATAACTATTAAAATAAAATGATGCGACAATCAGAGTTTAAAAAAAAACTTGACCCTGAATTGGGTAGATATGCAAGACAACATATTTATGGGGAAGGAATAACAGATGTTTTTAAATCGTTTGGTAAAGCAATATTTGGAAAGACAATGAAAAAAGCCGCTAAAAAGGGCATTGAAAAAGCTGTGACAACAGCCGCGACAAAAACCGGTGAACATGCTGGTAAAAAGGCCGGTGATAAAATAGTGCAAATGTTATCAAAAGGGAAAGTTGATTCCTCCAGTAAACCCACAACCCAAAAAGTTACTTTTAATAAAAATGTTGAAATATTTCCTAGTAAAAAAACAACTCAACAAGAAATAAATCAAAGAGTAAATTCTATTCTGAGAGGTGGAAAATTATATAATTATTAAAATAAAATGAAGTCCTTTAGAAATCCAGAATATTTAGATAGATATGAGGATGTTGTTTTTGACCTTGAACAGGCTTTAGCAACACCTGGAAATGGTGCTCACCAAACTAAAGTAGGACATAGATTTGTCGCTGATAATACAGGTGAGGCCACTCCATTTGATTGGTATAACGCGCGATTTTCAGTGGATTTAAAAGTTAATCAGCTTGCTGCTGGAGCTAATATAGATGCAGATGGAGACCAAATGGGAATAGTAAATGGTAGTTCCAGTCTCATAGAAAAGTTAACAATCCTAGCAAATGGAAGAGATGTTTATAGTTGCAACTATGCTAATCACGTAGTAAATATAAAAAATTTGCTTGAGTATAATCCTTCCTATGTTGAGAGTGTCGCCACAAATGAATTTTACTATCTCGATACATCAAGACATGCTGAAAGACAAAAGTTTACCAGTGGGAATGTAAGAAATGCTGCAGGTGATGGACAAACAGCAGCACTTTTAGCCTCTGTAGCTAATTATAACAAAGGTTTTGCTGTGAGAAAAGCATTACTAGGTGACTCAGCAACAGTGCGATGTGAAATTCCCCTCAATAGATATTCTTTCTTTGAGTCATTAGAAAACAAACTTCTTCCAAATACAAAAATCGAACTAAATATTCAACTAGAATCAGATGGTAATCTTATCTGGCGAGCTGGTGGGAATGATTGTAGAGTTATACTAACAAGATTTCAACTATTTGTTCCAAGAATAACATTTAACTCAAAAGGACAAAAGTTGTACATGGAAAATTATCTCAAACCATACAATTGGAAGTATCTTAATGAAATAGTAGAGAGATCAAATAACTCTCAACAGCAAACAGGTCATTTCAGAATTACAAATGCTATATCAAAACCACGTCATGTCTTTGTTTTTGCGATTAACACAGCTAATATTGGTTCTCAAACAGCAAATCCATTCCTTTACAACACTTTTAATTTACCAAACAATGCTAATATATCAAGATGTTATCTTGAGGTTGGAAATGGAAATGAATACCCTGATATTCACTTTAAACCAGCTACAGATCCAGCGAGAGTGTTTCGAGAAGTAATGTCTTACGTATATGCAAATAATGACTTTCAAGGTGGAACACTTCTCAATAGAAGTAATTTTGAGTCTTTGTTTCCTTTTGTTTATTTCGATCTTACAAAACAAAAAGAGGATTTAAAAGATGGAGTTACAAAACTTGCATTTCATTACGAATTAACTGCTAATCCAAACGATGATTATAATATTTACGCTCTGGTGCTTCATGAGCGAGAGGCAGAAATAGAACAGCAAGGAGGAAAACTATTGCTTCGTGCTTAAATCTAAATTATATATCCACCAGTAACATTAAAAATTTCAACTACATAAGTGAATTAATAAAAAAGTTAAAAATCTAAGACTTATTATATTGTTAGTGGTAAAACAACAAATAGTTCAACAGTTAAATTGTTTAAACCATTTCTTGTGATGAAATAAAAAATTAACAAAACTGGTGGCCACCAGACCTTCTCAGGAGGACTCCCCCCATTTTCCCATCACCCTTTCCCCATTCCCCTCAGTCCCTCCTGAGAAGGTTTTTTATTATTACCCATAGGCCGGCCATTTACAGGGACCCATAGGCCAACCATTTACAGGGCTTTTTTCATTTATTTATTTATTTATGTTTCTCTTGGCTTGAGGCTAGACAAGCACTCCTATGCACCTCGCTCTGCCTATTAGGCATCCTCTTTCGAGTGGTCCTCAGTGCAATTACCGCTCTACTTAATAGCCCAACACCATCTTTGAGATTTTTACCCTCATTTTCCCTTCCAATGTTAATGATAAAGCCGCGGGGTTTTGACCTCATCATTAACATGGGTATCTGGTTACTAGCATTAGCCGAAAGGCCCCGCGTTTTTCCAATCAGGTAATACTTTCACCAAGATACACTCTAGTACTATTTCAAACTAGCCTTATATATGTGTCCAATTCAATATTCTCAAAAATGTGGGATGTAATTTGTGTCCTCCTCCAATGGGTTTTTCTCTCTAGTAATACGCAGTCTCAGTGGGGGGCAAATTTTGTCTAAAAATAAAAAAATCTAAAGATAGTAAATAGAAATGTGTAATGAAGAAGTTCTCGAGTTATTGATCCAGGAAAGTCATAATATTTACGAGATTGAATTTAATATAAACATCAAATAAAAAATGACTACTTATATTGAATACGGAGTAACAGTTACAGATGGACAAAAGTCAAAACTGGCTTCTGCGATAATAAATCAATCACCACTAACTCTTCGGTTAAAACATTCTCATCTTCAAGGTTCTGATGAGTTAATGTTAACAAAAAGACAAATTGATAAAATAAAAAAATCTGTTGCAAATGGTACCGGATCGGATATAAAAATAAGTAAAACTCAAATTAGAAAATCTGTGAAACATGGAGGAAACTTATTTTCATCACTTGCTTCTATTGGAGCAAAAGTTCTTCCTTACGCAATAAAAGGAATTTCAAAAGCTGTTCCCGCATTAGCAACCGGTGCTGCTACTGCACTTGGAGAACTTGGAATAAATAAAATATTTGGAAAAGGAATCACAATCCCCCCAGAGTTTTTCCCAATACTAACACCTATTTTAAGAGAATTTACCAAATCACAAATAAATCAAATTAACAAAGCTTATCAAACAGGAGGTCGACTGGTTATTAAACCAACTCGTAAACAAATAGAAGGAGGATTTTTGGGAACACTTGCTTCTACTGGAATTCCAATGGCAATTAGTCTGGTATCTAAGATGTTTGGTGGGGGACTTCAGGTTGATAGACGAGGGTCATCTAATACAGCAAATGTTTACGTTCCACCCACACATGGAGAGGGTTATCCTTATCGCTCACCACCTTTTATTGGTACATGGGAAAACCCTATAGGAATGGGAGTTAAAAAAAAAGTCCAAAGGCAAGGGTCTACTATTAGGAAAAAACAGCCCATTCAACTCAATCCCCATTCTCGGCTCCATTTTGTAATCAAACCTCTATCCAACTTTGACCTCATGAAATGGGTAAAAAGACTTGGTATTAAAAATTTCAGAGGAATATATAGTCGAGATGGTCTACCTAATAAGATAAGAAAAGAATGTGGAATAATTAATCTCGATGACATGGTTGGTCCTGGAACACACTGGGTTTGTTATAGAAATATAAACAATGTAGTTGAGTACTTTGATCCGTTTGGACTGATAATGCCAAATGAAGCATTAGATTATTTTAATACTTCTGGAAAACGTATTGTTTACTCGATAGATGAAATACAAAATCGCAGTACTGTTCTCTGTGGATATTGGTGTTTATATTATCTGTTTGAGAGACAACGGGGTAATGGTATTTTGAATATAATACATAACCCTCATTTCGATAATGACAACAGTGATTTTATAAAGGCTTATTTCTCTTAAATTATTAAGATTAAATAAAATAATTTATTTAATCTATAAAGGTTTTTTATTTGGATTTAATTCTTTTAAGATCAACTAAAATTCTAGAAATTTTATCACAAACATCACAAAGAGATTTATATTGGCAAACAATTTTACTTAACCTCTTAAATTTTTCTTCATTCTTAAGAAAATGACTATATTTATTTATAATTTCTTCCCAAAATTTAGCCTCTTGTCTATTTACTACTAAATAAAAAAAATAATTTTCTTTTTTAATATCATCAAATAGACTATTAATTTCATTTCGAATTTCAATCTCGTAATCAACTAGTAACTGTTTATCAAAAGATAAATCAAAATCTTTAACAAACCTGTCTTCCATTTTTATACTTTACTTTTATTCTTAAACTATTTTATTCACTATCCACAGGTGAATCCTTTAGCTGTTTAACACTGTCAACTTTTGTATTTAGATCTTTAACGCTATCAACTATATCACCAAATTTTAAGTAAATGTCAATAAGACGATAAAGTTTCTTCTTTTTATCACTCTTTATTTGCAACCAAGAATACTCCTCGTTTCTTATTTTTTCCCACATCTCACATTCACCAGCCATTAGCACTCTAGAAAGATCTTCGTTTTTCTTTCTAAGAATTTCCAACTCATTATATATTTTTGTTCTTACTTCTTTCTCGAAATCCTTGATTGTTTTAACATCCATCTTTTTCTCCATCTCAGAAAAGAATTTGGCTTCCATTTATTATATGAATAGATAGTTTCCTTTTACAACTTTGTTGAGAGTATTTGATTTCTCACTTAGTTCCATAAGCAACTCAAATACTTTTATAAATTTAGTATCGTTTTCCAATCTAGAAAAATCAGCGTATTTATAACTCATGTTTAGGTTGTTGTATATCTTTTGAAGTTCACTTTTAAGAAAATTAGATCTAGTAGTCATATTTTTTATCTAAACATTATATTAAATGAAAGAAACTTATTGTATAGTAGATAAAAGAGTAACTCCTTGTACAGAGCCAAGTGGTTACCAAACTGATAAAAGAGGAAGAACTCAATTCTTTTGTAGATGCGCAGTTTGTGGAAATAAAAAAGTTAGATACGTGAAAACTGGAACAGCTTCTCAAACTGGAAGTGGAAAAAGAAAAACTAAAAAGAAGTCAAAAAACTAATAAGCCCGTCTGAAGGGGCGGGCGTTTTTGATACTGTATTTGGTGGTGCTTTAGCCAAAAAAAGACCCACATTAACAGATAAAATAGCAGAAGGAGCGGCAATGTTTGTTAATCCAACTGCTAGTTGGCCAGCAGCTTTTATGAAACTTGGTAGTCAAGGACTAAAAGGTATAACAGACAACATCCATCACTATAGAGGTGGAGCTGTAGACATTCATAAACAAATCGGTAAATTACCAAAACCAAAAGGAGGATGGACCTTGCCAGGGCATAAATATACCGGTCCTTATAATGATCTTGAGAACCAAGTAAGATATGATCCAAAAACCGGAGAAATATTAGAAATTTACGATCAACCAACCGGACCAACCGATGCCGTAGCCATGCAACATGACGTAGATTATAGTGTTTGTGGTGATGACCGAAAGTGTAAAAATAAAGCTCATAGAAAGATGGTAAAATCGTTGGATGCTATTCCTTGGAAAGAAAGACAATGGGGGCATACTTTAGCTAGAACAATAATAAATACCAAACAAAAACTTGGTATGGGAGCCCCTGCAAATGTAAAACATTCAAAAAACGGGCGTCGGCGTTGAGTAGTGATTGGTCTCAACAATTAGCCGACGAAATTCACAAACCAATCACAAGAAACTTTCAAAAGAGATCAGTAGTCTCAAATGGAATTGATGATATCTGGGCTGCTGATTTGGTTGAAATGCAAAAGTTTAGTAAGTGGAACAAAGGGATTAAATATCTCTTGATGGTTATTGATGTGTTTAGCAAGTATGGATGGATTTTTGAAAGATAAAAAAACTGAAACTGTCAGTAAAGCATTCGATGACATATTCAAAAGTAAACGTAAACCTCAAATGTTATGGACTGATAAAGGTTCCGAATTTATAAGCAAACATTTCAAAGATTTTCTTAAAAGTAAAGGAATTAAACTATATCACATTGAAAACGAAGAAAAATCTAGTGTTGTTGAAAGATGGAATAAAACAATGAAAAACAGAATGTGGAAGATGTTTACTGTGAATAACAACACTGTTTACTGGGATAAGATAGATAAACTAGTTGATGATTACAATAACGCTAGACATTCTAGTATAAAAATGACCCTGTTGAAGCAAGTAAAAATAAAAATAAAAACAAAGTTTGGTCTAATTTGTATGGCGAATCTATTTACTTGAAATCTGGTAAATCAAAGTTTGCAATTGGTGATCGTGTTAGAATTTCTAAGTATAAGAGAAAGGTATTTGATAAAGGCTACACACCAAACTGGACAGAAGAAATATTCGTTATTGATAAAGTTTTACCTACAAAACCTGTCACATATAGAATTGTTGATCTGATGGGAGAAGAAATTAAGAGGCTGTCCACGAGAAAACCATGCAAAACCATGCAGAAGGTGCTACAGGCTAGATCACAGAATTGGCTTATATTCTGTGAGTAAGTATACTTGGGTGTACTATTTTCAAATATAGTATGACTGGGGTCCAAGCGCCTTTCCTTTGTGTATACGAAGGGGGGTCCCCTCGGGAGACCATTTTTACTGTTATACAAGGCCGAAATTTCCTGAAGTTTAGATGCGTTGATCACCAATAATTTACGACGTGAGTGAAAAATGAGTAGCCGGCGGTCGAACTGAATGATTTAACTTCGACTAGACGTATAAACCAGAAAGATTGAGACTTCTTCCTTCTCGAGACCGTGTACTAACCGAAGGGCAGTTGAACTCTTTTCTACAAGCTAGAAAAATATTGCACTTTTGAAATTATTTCTAAAATTTCTCGCAAACCTTACAATAAATCTAATATGGGTTATGTTAATAGAATAAGTTGGATTTTTGTTGTACGCTTTCAAAAATCTGGGTATTGTGAAATTATGGACACGTCAGCCTCGGAACTATGACAAACTATGAGCCAACATAATCGTTTTATTAAAAATAGCCAAAAATCATACGGAACAAGATACATAATTGGTCGCTCAAAAACACGACATGACACTTCAAAAACATACCTCTGTGACTGAGAAAGGCTAAAGGGAATAATTTTCCCGCTGTGATCCCAGTAAATCTTCTTTTTTTCGACGAAATGATGTTACTTCGGCTTCGGCGTGTAGCTGGAGAGCAGCCATAACCTGTCTCGTGAATATTTTGCCGCTCGTAGAAAGATCAAAAGTAACTTTCATTCCCAAAAAGCTATTTCTTTTGCTTGAAGGATGGAAAATATCTTTTTCGAACGTCTTCATACGCCTTATAATGCGATAGAAACTACGTCTTACAAACATGTGTGCATTTGTTTACCACCATCTTTGTTTCGAGCCCGTGAACCAAGCGGTCTTCGGTTTTTCCCTATGTACATTGCTTTGGAGGGAGTTCGGGAAAGCGCGAACGTTCAGTACAGCTGTAAAAACATTTGAATTCATGTACGAAGTGAGAATTGGTAGTCCTCTAGACGATTCACTGCCAGAAGAAGACATTTCATATGAATAGTGTTCTACTCCATGTGTGAAATCGGGACTGAAAGAGGTGAATGAGTTTATCCGCTCAGCTCCTTGTGCTCGTGGTAGGATAGATCCAGTGGTTCGTCAGTTGAGTATACCTTGGAAGGAAGCTGCACCAAGCACACAGAGATATTACAGACAGATGGGGAAAGAGATCATTGAAGTGGCCCTGGATTGCCTTGCTCCAGGGCAAGCAATAGAATTACTTTCAGAGTTGATGAAACGTATGGAGAAAAAAGAGAAGCAAAATAGTGTAGATACTGATGTATCGCGAAATATCGCGAAATATCGCGCCTGATTAAATTGTACGAAGAGGCCAACAGTTGGTTTACTAAAAAGCAAATCCTGTCAGTATTTGTAAACGATTACTCTAAAGCACAACTTCAGCTGCTTATTCCTGGAGTAAGCATTTGGGCGATAGATGAGGCAAGAAGGCATGCCGCTAAGGTGGGGGTGGGTAAACCAGTGCCACAGATGGAGGCCATTACACGCGCAAGACTGGATTCAAGCAAAGTAGACCATTTTCTAGATTCTTATACCAGCAGTACTGTCAGGAAACCGGTTTCCTTTCACATGGGAGGTCTACCCTCTTCAGTATTTTCTATGGGAAAGCCAGTATGCTGATCACTGCCGGGTATTTGCGTTTTCTGACCCTGAAGATCATCTCTGTGAGCATGAACACACGAAATCATGTCAAAGCTGCGACAATATCAAGAATGTTCTTGAGGAAATAGAACTGGTATTGTCATCAAGAGACCTTCACTTCAGGTAGACGATTACTGATACCATGTTCTATAGTCTTCTTCTTTCAAAACCAAAAACCTAAACTTTCTTGCAGTCAAAACCAAAGAAAGAAGACCGATTTCTCCCCTAACAGATTTTATATTGTTCAGTTTATTGTTGATCGTTTCATTTTACACATGTAAAAAAAATTCTTCACAGGATATTACGAAAAGATATATATTGTAATTTTACCTGATCATGAAGAGTAAGTTTTCTAAGTGTCATATCTTAATCACCTTTTTGCAATTGGAAATGGGTGGCTCAGGTGACTGAAATCTACAGTTGTTTATCCTCGGAAACAATGCCGCATTTACTTCATTAAACAAAGGATCAGGAAAAATATACCGTAAAAAGACGAGCAAATGATGTCGCCCTAAAACGTCAAGAAATTATAATTACATCGTTGATAACAGAAGGAAACCATCAACTTTTTTATTTTGATTTTTAGATATCAAGACGAAAAGGAGGAACTAGAGCATGACATTAGTAACGCTATAGATAAGATTGAGCGATGGAAGGCCCACATCTTAAGAGCAGTAAACCAGGACGTAGCAAAGGATGATATCCTCAACAATATGACGCCAGAGCAAGCTTTAATTATCATGGATTGGGCTATGAAATTCCTTCCGTTGAAGTATAAGGAAACGCAAGGAGAGTGGTTTGGAAAGAAAGGCCTCTCTTGGCATGTCACAGCCGTGATAACAAAACCGAAGGAAGAGTTTGAGGTATTTTTTTACAGGCATATCCCACATCTGACTATGGGCATATCCAAAACGGTGCATGATGCTCTGTCTGTCTCTGTATGTACTACGCCGTTCAGTCGAATTATGCGCAAATCCTTTTTTGACAACACGGAACTACACTTATACGAAACGTAGGAATTGCATGCCGAAATTTTATCTTTTAACAGGACACCTGTAGGGATCTCTTCTCGGAAGAGATCCCTGTTTGTTGACACTGTTGATTCTCGTGAGCGACCGTTTACAGGAGGTTTGACGTTATATTCCTTCAATTACCATTTCAGTTTCAGATATTATAGTAGTCGAATTTGTGTCCTAAATAGAAGAAATGCTGAGTTTTCTTCTTATTTCCTGAGTAACAGTAGAGTTATCCACATTCACTTGCTGTACAAAATACGGTAAAAGCAATGTATAAATTATGTATTGACAGTGGAGGTAGGTCGGTGTCCGCGTGACAGGTTAAAAGCTTACACTGATTACTTTATTTGCACATTCTACTGAGGAAATAATCCCTTGAAATCTTTAGCTATGAAGTGCAGGAAGATACGAGGCATAGTTATAGTCAAGGGATGAAACAACAAGTTGACAACAGATAGGATTAACAGAAGAGTAGGTATTTGAGAGTCAGTGAGCTTTCCTGTTGTACTTTATTTAACGTCATGGAGCCGATAGTGTAACATTATTTCTTATGTTCATATGTATAGGCAAGGACATACGTTCATCTGCTGGATCACTGCAGCCAGAACTGGTTTGCTGTTGCATCTATTTATGAGAACACGCTTATGGAAATAAAGAGGAAGTCACCTAAGATTGTCGAGGCGTTTGTACGTAGTGATAACGCTGGATGTTATCACTGTGCTCTTTTATTGCTAAGTATTCCTGGTATTAGTCAACGTACAGGTGTAACTACAAGCCGATACGACTTCAGTGAATCAAAAAGTGGTAAAGATATATGCGATCGCCATATTTCTCCTTTGAAAAGTCATATACGCCAGTACGTCAATGCAGGAAATGATGTCGAGAAGGCAAAAGATATGAAGAAAGCAATAGATTCTTACTCCGCAGTTAGAGGTTGCCGTGCATCAGTTGTAAAGGTGGACACTTGCGCGCAGGATCTGCATAATCACAACTGGAACGGAGTACTGATGTTTTCATACTTCAAGTTTTGCGCAGAATCAGGATGTGGAAAGCCTTTAATGTTGGAGAGGGAAAGTTCGTTCGTTACGATAAGCTAATGAAGAAAGGCACCAGCCAGGGAATTACCCGATTGGAGGTCGTTGAGCCCTTCACATCCCCGCGTGTGTCGACTGGCTTCTTGTACAAAAATAGCAAAACGACGGAAAACAAAAGTAAACCTTGTGAATTCAGTTGCCCTCAACCACGCTGCATCAAGTTATTCAAAACGACAACAGCGTTGCAAAACCACCAGGACTTTGGCAAGCACATTTTTTGCACCCAAAAGGATTCCACGCATGACAGTATTAAGCGTAGGTGGGCTAACGCATGCACCAACCTACGCCCTTCATATATTCCATCCAAAAAGAACCTTGAAGGATTGAGCCAAGAAGAGTGCAGAGAGTACCCCACTGCTGAGCCTGGCTGGGCCTTGAAGAAAAACAAGAAGACCGGGTGATTTTCAGAACATGTCAAAGAGTACCTCCTTAAACTTTTTCTTGATGGAGAAGAGACAGGAAATAAGAGCGACCCTGCCGTTGTTCCTCAAACTTGAAGTCACTTCGTGGACCAGATGGCGTAAAATTGTTTTCTTCTAAAGACTGGCTCAGCGCTCAACAAGTTACATCATACTTTTCACGTCTCGCATCGGCCGCTAAGGGTGGAAAGCTTTCTTTAAACAAGAAGACTGTAATAGAGGAAGAAGATATGCTCGATGCCCTTGTTGAGAGAGGAGAACGAGAGTCCATGCGAGAGAAAGTTTTTCACGTTGTGGACTTATAGAAGGAGCTTAAAAACCGTTGAGAAAAAGATGGGGCAGAGCAGATAAGCAGCTAAATAGGAGATACCTGTTTCCAATGCCTGTTATAACGCGTGCTCTCTAGGTGCACTTCATAAGAATGACAACACATTTTTTTATTAATGAAAACTTTTCGTTGTAAACTAAAAATTTGTCCCATCTCCGCACACGGGGCTCTGCAACCAATTTTCAGGCCCCGGTTGTTCAAACGTTGGTAAGTACTATCCACCGGATAAATCACTATCCAGCAGATAAGTACTAGGGAAACCAATTGCGTTATCCAGTGGATAGATTTTTATCCGGTGGATAGCGCTATCCAACGTTTGAACAACCGGGATTTATTTCTTTCTAAGTTATGTCATATTGGAAGATGTGTTGGCTCTTATACATTGTATACAACTTACAGCTCATTATATCACCTTATAAGGCTATAAAATAGATTTTAAAAAGAGCTTACCCTTTGCCAGACAAAGCAAAAATACGAAATTTGTAAATGGCATCAAAGCAAACCATTTTCTAAAGCACTAAGCAAAAGAACACTTCCTGTTGATTACACAATGGCCTATATTACCGCAGGACAGTTTTTCATTGCAGGCGCATAAGCAATATGGCGGAAGAAAGAGTTGTGGTTGATGTGGCCCTTCTGTCGTAATCTTTATGTCCAGAAAATGATAACCGTTGTCAATTTAAATATCAAAATGGGCATTAGAGTATTGGCCTTTTCAACAGCACCAAATCTGAGAAATAAGTCGCAGCCTGTGTTTTATCGCACCACTCAGTCTTTCTGAACGGCAATGGAGTGTGAACTTTTGGACGGTTTTATGGCAGATATACTCCCGTGGAAACATAACAATGTAAAGAGAAGGTTAGAATCTCCTATTAGGAAGTTTTTCTTGCAATTTCTTTCAAAAGCACTGGGGAAATGTAACCAATCCTCTTATCGTAAGTCAGTAAAACGATCAGTTTGCAAATGGTTACCAGTAAAACCTCGGTATTTCTCTTGAACTATTGCAATACCCAGAAGTTTTATGTACCAGAGCAAAAGACAATACCTCTGCGTAAATCATCAAGTATCTCGCTTTACTTGAAGCTCTGCGAGAACTTTTTTATTTTTTTTTTGAAAACTCAAGAAATTTGCATAATTTTTCTCATTAACATATGTCATGTTAAATAATGCTATGGAAAATTTAATAAAGAAGAGTCACACTGATTATGTTGTCATCGTTTAAGAGTGTATACTCAGTAGTTTGTGAGAATTTTGTTTTACCTGGATTGCTCAACAATTTGCCAGAAATATTGTCATTCAAAAAATCACAAAATTTGCACATATTTCAGTGTAGATTTGGCTGTTCAAGGGTGCCCCCCCCCTGAAAAAAAGAAAAGAAAGAAGCTTGAACAAAACTAATACCATATCTACCTATACTTCACCAAGTTATGCCTATGTGGAAAGTTTGAGCCAATTCTGTGATGTGCACTGTAGCACCTTTTGCATGGTTTTGTCATGGATAGCCTCTTAAGGGTTCTTTCTACAACCAAGAATTACAAAAAACAAAACAACAAACATTTAGAATAGAAAAGATTATCAGACGAGATAATAAGAAAAAAATGGCATTAGTAAAATGGAGTGGATATCCTGATAAATATAACTCATGGGTTAGTTCTAAGGATTTAGTTGATTTTTAATACGAAATTCGTATTAAAAATAGATATTTACTCGTTTTCTTCTTCATCAGAAATAACTAACTCTTCGACCACTTGATCAGTTATTTCTTCGTTATCACTTTGCTCTTCATCTTCATCTTCATCTTCATCTTCCTCTTCAATTGTTAGTAAAGACTCTCTAGGTTTGAGTGGTTTGACATAGCACTCATGTACTTTTATTTGTAAAGATGTCACGGTTTTACTTATAAAGATTCCTTCAATTATCAGAGCCAATTTAACATTACAGTACTGATTGATATATTTAAAAGGATTTAAATCTTTACCTCCCTTTCCCTTAAACAAAGATAAAATTTTCTTTGATTTTTCCGAATAAATAAGTTTCGCATTAAAAACCGGTGCAGATGAGGGGTCATTTCTTGTTTTCTTCTTTCCTTTTTTATCAGTGTATTCTTCCTGTTTGTAATATAACGGTGAAGTAAGAGACGAAGCTAAATCTGGTCCATATTCATTCTCTAAATATTTTTGAGAAAGAGATGTTATGTTATTAATAACTTCCAAAAATGATTTTTCTTTGTTATTTGGTTCGCTATCTTTAGCCCAAAGACATACTGGTATACTATAGCCTACTAACTTTTTTGTTTCTTGATTTTTCTTTTCGCTAACACCAAAGCTAAAAAGAAATGGGGTTTCGATTACAAGTGGTCCTTTCTTTCCATTCGAATATTTGATTTCAATTGGGATACGCTTGTATTTAATTTTGCTATCTTTGACTTTAAATTCTTTGGCTTCTTTAAAGATAATATTGTCTTGGGTAAGATTTTCGTAGCTGGACAACTGCATTTTTATTAATTATAAATTATTAATCCTTAAATCATTATACCACTCATCTTTTTTTGTAATTGGTATAGGAATTTCTAAAATTTTATTATTTTCCCCTTCTTCCGTGAAAAATTTATCTAACAATAAACAAGTTTTTCCTTTATAAAAACTAAAACCAAAAATAGCGTAATTATATGCTAAAGAATTTCGAAAGGATTCTAATTTGTCTAAATCAAACTTTTTACCTTTGATATAATTTTCTAAATATTCACATAAAATTTGAGCTATATAGGAATAAAATGGTTTTATTTCATCAAACTCCTCACTATCATCATAATCTTTCATTATTAAATAAATAGTTTTAAATATTGATAAAAGTCTACTAAAACCTTTCAAAATTTTCTGTTTTTTTAAATCATTAGTTTCTCTTGCTTCCCTTACTTTTTTAGCTAAAGTATCAATGATAAAAACATCGTCAAAATACATTTTTCTTTATTTTAATTAAATATTTAAGCATTTTTTTTCTAAATATTCAAATGTGTATCTATCCCCGTCTTTTTTTGAAATAACCGACAAATATTAGAAATAATTGAAAAGGAAATATCTAATTCGAGTGAAGCAGATGTGATACTTTCATAATTTTTTTGTTTTTTGTTTTTGATATTAAATGATGATATAGGTTTATTATTTCCTTTTCTAATATTTTCTGAGACAGTTAGTAATTGTAAATTTTCTATTTTATTATTTTTTTTAACAGAATCAATATGATCAATAACAAATCCTTCTGGTATTACTCCTTTAATACATTCCCATTCAAACCTATGTATATAGTAATTCTTTGGTCTGATTAAATTTTTATCATTGACTTTAAACTGATAGTATCCCTGATCAGTCAAATTTTTTTTTAGAATTCTTCCAGTTTTTACATTTAAAATTTCACCTTCTTTTGAAGCGGCATAATTAGTAAAAATAGGATGAATATAGAATTTCTTTCCACCATTTAAAATTTTTTTGCGGTTCATTTTTAAAAAAATCTTTTAATTCTTAAACTAATTTACTACCAAAGAAGTTTTGTTGACCAATAGTTAGCTGATTCTGGATTATTATAAGTTAATTCTCCTTGTTTATTCTTAATCTTTGTAGCTCTAGCAAGATATTTATCTCTTCTATCTTTGTCTTTCTGAGTAAGATAATCCTCATATTTTGACGATCCAAAATGAACTTTTTTTCCACTTTTAAGAGTAACCATATATTTGTTATTTTTTCGTGTTGAATAATCAAGCGATTCAGTACCAAGTTTTTTAGCATTTTGTGTTAACTTTTTAAACTCTTTTCCAGTAACAAGATACTTATCGTTTGGAACATAATCTGGGTCCTCATCATGTCTATAACCATCATCAACTATAAAATCCTCTTTTGTAGGAGTAGTTTCTCTTGGTTCCATTCTTTTTTTATTATTTTGTTTATATTATTTTTTTGTTGGAAACCATTTTTTTTACAAAATCCAAACGCAAAATTCTTAATTGTCTCTAAAAACTTGTTTTTGATCCCCTTTTTTAGAAAAAATAAATGATAGAAATACCCAAACAAAATAACAGGGAATGTTTTTCTCACAAAATAACCAGAGACGTTGTGAATGACTTGAATAATTGAAAAATGATAGCTAAAAAGTCATGACGGAAATGGAAAACGAAAATAGACTAAAACTTTCGGGTAGAAAAATGAAAATGGGGGAAACTGGAATTTAATGACAGAAATGGATGACAGAAATAAACATAGAATTTGAAATGATAGAGAAATTCGGTTAAAAATGACACAAAAAGTCATGACAGGGATTTCAAACGGTTTAATCAGAAAATAAACGGAAAAAAATGCTGGAGACTAACCATTCCCCTTACTACTCTTACGCCCTCGTTTATCGCGGCTTCGCGGCTTGCGTCAATGGGTTTCGCGTGCAGTAACTTTGCAAAGAAAAATAAGAGACTGCTTGCAGCCTGTGACCAGCTCATCAGTGCCAAATCCTCGACAACTTCTCACTCATGTGACCAATGTTAAGCTCTCAGGCTGTCAGAGCATGAAATGAATATAACTTTATCTTGCAAACGCTGGGCTTACTACGAAGAATTAAGTGTTTTCTTCCATAAGATATCAGACAACTTTTTGTTAAATAAACTATAATACCTTTGACTATCCGGATGTCACCTGGGGACTCGCTACGCCAAAAGTGACAAAATATCAAAGATGCAACTTTATAATTCAAATCCAACCTCGTCCCCAGGGCGCTTTTCCCAAAGCCAGGGAAAAGCGCCCTGGGGACGAGGTTGAATTCAAATCCACCAATTTACTATCAAGATCAATAAAATTAACATCAATTTGCTTTATGAATGTGTTAAGATTGTAGAATTTAATTTCAATTCCCACGTGTTTCATGTAATGTATCAAGAGACACATTTTCTATTGATGCATGTTTTTTAAATCAAGAAGGGAGACGACAATTTTTTATCAGTTTTGTTTCCGAGAGGGACTGAAACCGAGCACACGGGTTGGAATTCAAGGCTTAAAAGTGTTGACGGGCCTGCACGACTCGTGCAGTTCGCAAATAGATTGGTCTTAAAAACTTTATAGTTTAGCTCTAACTTGAGTGTCTTTTAGGGATTTTCCTTTGCTATATGAAATGAGGAGGTTCCTTAAAGATGTCTCTGAGATATGGTTGGATCTGTATAAGGTGCCATTTTCCCATGAGTATGTTCTTGAGGTTGGGCAACGCAGGGTGGTATTGCGTTACAAAGGGTAGTATTTTCTTACGTACACTTTTGTTTCTCTGTTCTAGTGCTTTTTTTCTGTCTGGGAAAATGACCGGGGAAAATGACCTCTGAGAGAGGTTTTTCTACAGTTGTAGCTGGGTAATCTCTACTCTTGAGGCGTGTTGAAAAATTCCTCATGTTCTCTTCAAAAGTGATTTCAGAGGAATTTGTTCTTACAAGCATTAAAGTTGATGAAGCCTTTTGTAACGCCTGGTGGGTGACACGAATAGAAATTCGTGTATAGATGGTTTTCACAGTGACGTCATCAATAGCGAAAAGTCAAAATAGCAAGGTTTACGAATTCTTATTAACACTAGGTTGAAGATAAACAAAAAGTTAATCATTGTACAAGTTTTCAGTCCCATAGCATGTTTCATTTCGAAAATACAGCAATTTGAACTTCCGAGTTTTCAGAGTACGTGACACCAAAATAGGAATGCTGTCTCGTTGAAGAAAAGTCTCTCCTCTTGATTTTCAGCAGTATAACCATTTCAAGTATTAGAAGATATGTTTATGCGCACGTAGGCTAGTTCTCGAGTGAAAAGAAGGAGCTTTTATAGAACAAGTGAACTCCTGATGTTTTTGTTGATTTTCGGCGGCCATATTGGTGCACCAAAACTGTGCACCAATATGGCGTCTCCATACAAAGCTCTACAAAGATGCCTGAAACGTTTCGGCAAATAACTCAGAAACTGTGGGCCAAAAAGACCTGAGACTTGGACAAATTGTCTAAAAATTAGTCTTTTATAACATGTCATTTTCTTGGCTTCTTTCACTGGACGGTTTTCAATTTATTTTTTTGTTGCGTGACAGTGAAAACGATCTATTGGAGTGTCTCTGTAGGCTTGAAGTGTGTTCGCACGTCAAGGATAGAATCCTTGTTGAATCTGACACCTTTGCAGGGGGCGTAGCGTCCATATACGCACGTACGCCCGAGCGTACAGCTGAGATCTGAGAAAACAATTTTTCTCATTAAATTTGCCGGCTAATAATTTCAAAATTTTCTGGGGGAGCATGCCCCCAGACCCTCCTAGTTGTAAGCGCCTTCGGCGCTTAGGAAAAATTTATTCTTGTGCGTACATCTTCAAAATCCCACGCTACGCCCCTGCTTTGTACACCTTCGTGTCCAAGAATGTAGTCTCTGTTTCTGATATTTCAGCCGTGAATTTGATTGTAGGATGGAAGTTGTTTGCCTTTAGAAGGAATTCTTCTATTGCGTTTCTGCTTGTGTCCCATACGTCATCGATAAACCTTTTCCAAAAGATGGGCTTAATGCTGCTTTGTCTGAGTATTTCTTTTTCTATTTTGGCCATGAAGATGTTAGCAAAGGCTACGGCCATTTTCGTGCCCATGGCTGTTCCATGGGTTTGAAGATAATCTTTCTCGTTAATTTGGAACGAGTTTTCTAGTTTAGTATCAGACTAAGCATTTCGCTTAAAAACCTTGCAGGGACTGGAGGGTTTCCTTGGTGAAATTCTTCGTATACATGGCATTCAGTGGTAATACCCTCTTGTTGTGGTATGTTTGAGAATAGGCTTGTGACGTCCATTGAAACAAGTATGGCAGTTTAATCCTCTCGATGAAGCCAAGTCTGTCGTATCTTTAAGATACGAAGCTTCTAGTTGTGCTATTGGCTGAATAAGGTGGTCAACAAATGCTGAGATCCGTTCTGTAGGTCCGGAACACCCTGAGATAATAGGTCTTCCGACAGGTGTTGGTTTGTGGATTTTAGTAAGTGTGTGTGTATATTAACCCTTCAGTTTCTTTTATTTTAATCTGCACTGTATATTGTGTTGGACGTGGCTGCATTACAGTTTGTTGATCACTCAATATCAGTGTTTTTGACTTTTAACATTATATTTTGCACTTTATATTTGTGCTGGACGTGGCTGCGTTGCAGTTTGTTGGTCACTCATTATCAGTGCTTTTTCTAACAACTAACTACTTATGTTTTAACCATTTTTATTTTGTTTTTATGCCTACAACGCTCCCATTTACACACACCCTCCGTCCCTTCTATCTTGCCCACTGGTTCAGGGGTGACTGGGAACCCTTTCATTAGGGATCCCATACTTTAAACACCTGTAATGCCACAAAGGTTGCCAGGTGAATCTACTGTTATCATTTTTTTTTTTTTTTTTTCATAAAGAGAGGCCCCGGAAGAACTGTATCCGAGGCACGTTTTCAAATAAGCCATAAAAGGAAGTCCTCCGGTTCAAGTTGCATTAATAGAGACCTTTAGCATCAGGTAAACCGCAAACCGCAAACCACAAACCGCAGTTACGCGTTTGCAGTTTCGCGTTGCCGAGATTTCACACTTTAGCAAGGCGTTCAGTACAGTTCAGTTCAGTTCATTTTTATTTAGGCAAAATATAATACAATACAAGAATATATATAGGAATTGTAAGGTTGCAAGGGAGCCCAGAAGAAACCAGAAGGCTCAATGAAGCCTGGGCTCTCCAGTCTTAAAGAAATAAGCAAAATAAAATGAAATTCGCGGAGTGATACGATAAAAATAGGAACTAAACAGAGACTGAGTTAAGATACGAATTCAGTAACAAGATAGAAAAAAAATTTAACGCTGGATTGGAACAGAATACTTTCCTTTGTTCGTACGGCAGAAACGAATATAAAATTGATTTGAACTACGCGTTAATTGTTGAGGGCCGCCATGTTGTTTTCATCAAGTCGAAGTGCATCACTTTAATCGCCCAAAACTCTGCAATAATTCAGTGATTCGAGATCAAAAATCCAACAAGCAAATCGCAAACGGATATAAAAAGCTAGTTCATACCTTGAAACGCGAGGCTGTACAATTTTTTGTGGCAAAAAACCTTGCCGTAAATCACTTACCGCTGGAAGCCCTTCCTGCGGTTCAAACGTGAACTGCAAACTGCAAACGTGACCGCAAGGCCGTGGTCACGTGTCATTTTGCGGTTTGCGGTTTGCAGTTTCCCATGAAAAACGTGATGCTATTAAGGTCCCTAATGTAAATTGCGAAAATAAAAAATGACAATAACAATGACATTTTCCAGCAAACAAACCCATGCTTTAAATCACGTATTTTAATGTTCCAGTCTAGAAGTAAGTAAATAACACACAATTGGCTTGAAGATTAAACTCTTTTCAGATAACCATTCATGTTCCAAGAGGCATTATACCTGAAGTAAATAAACAAAACAACAGTTAAATAAAAATATAAGGTGATATAAACGTTCTGGTGACTTTTACACCTAAATTTGTTGTATCGCGCTGCTACTTATCAAACTTCGAAGGGTTTTTCGGTTTTCTCTTTCTTCAATCATATAAGTGAGGGCGGACCTTATACAAATTTCAACTCATCTTCGCTCGCAGATGAATTCCCGGATATCGTACCGATTCTACCAGTGTTTTAAGCCCCGTGTAAACGGTCGCAACATTGTTGGCAAACAACTCCAAACATTGCCTGTTAGATGTTACATATTTCGTCCGTTTGCACACCCCGTTGCATGTTGTTGTGTGTTGTAGGGAGTTGTTACGCAAAGTTTGAAACCGGTCAAAATTTTAGCTACGTGCAAACCGACGCAACAAGGGGAGTTTTTACGTCCGTTTGCACGTAGCTTTAGTTCCCAGAGTTGTATCTGCAATCAATTTCACTTCATGGATTTACTTTAATTTGGGTATGCTCCGGAGGGAGGAATTAAGTTTGTTACCACAAGTTTTATAATTTGCGAAATTCTTCAGAAGGTTTTATGATATTGCCCATGATATGATATTTCCGTGATCACGTGGCGCAATGTTTGATCCGTTTGCACAGCTCTTCCAACATTGTTGCGGCCACGTACGCAAATTGCGCATGGTCTTTAAAGTCTTATGGGTTGTATCCTTCCTACGAAGCACTGCAGGTCCCAATATTGTTGGGAGTTGTTGCGTCCGTTTCCACACCACTGCCGACGCAGACGCAGCAACTCCCAACATTGTTGGGCCAACAATGTTGCGCCGGTCCGTTTGAAGCCGACATTTTAAGCACCCAGACGAAGAACTAGCACTTGAATCGTCAGCTTTTGAATCTCTCCTAGACGCTGGCTAAAATTTACTTTATTAATTCAATTGATTCCTAACGAAGCAAGGTTTATACGGAATTCGCATCGCGCCTGGAACGTGCGTGATCGCCTAGGGAGGCAAAAACACAAGTTGGCTGCTTCGTGTCCGCCGTTCCCTAGCAACGAAGCCGTAACCATAACCGCGACAAACTTCCCGCGCGGGTTTCTGCGGTCGTTTCAGCGGTCAAGAAACGCCAGAGGTTCTTCAAAGATCACATGGAAGCGATCTGTGCCATAAGCTTGAAAATAACAGCGAAATTCGAGGTAAACGAACATTTATTTTGAGTATCACTTCGCAGACGAGTTTTATTCGCCCCGTTCGTATGTTCAAATGCAATGTTCGGCTTTCTACCGCCAAAAATCTCTTATTTTCCTGAAATATAGTCTTGCATTCATGTTTAATGCGGCTCGAACAGCTTCAAAGATGCGTTTTCCGGCAGAGGTTCCAAGGGAAAATGGCTTTGAATATAATATTTTCGAGTTCATGGGGTAATAGAGATATTTAGCACCCAGATTTCTCGCGATAACGGCAAATAGCAAACGGCAGGTTCGCAACTTTGCAGTGAAGCCACTTGCCTGTGCTTCGTAGACCCCACTTGACTTCTGAACGTCATGAAGTCGATTCTCTAGGCTATTAGAACATAGGCAATGCGAGATGTCTGTTTTTCAAATATCTTAGAGCAAAAGTGACCTTTAAAATGTTAAACCGCGGAAGGATTTGCTCTAAGTCGGTAGAGCGCTTAACTGCAGAGCGTGAGGTCGTGGGTTAGATTCCATCCAGGGGCCGGACCAATACTCAGGGTTTTAAAAACAACTGAGACATAAAGGTACTGTCCCCAATTACAGACACTCAAAGCGATTTTTGTTTTGCACTGTCTTTGAAAGGAATGATCTCTTCTTACCCAAACATGTCGGTGTATCTTGTATCCACCAAGTATTTGCCCGGGTGATCCATCAAGAAGTTCCTGAGGGTGTTCATCTTGGTGGGACCATAGAGCCCATAGCCGAGTTCTTTTACAAGTCCTTGTCCACCCATCATGGGAGTTAGTGGATTTGTATCTTCGACGCAAATGTAGTCCCCAGGTTGCATGAATTTGTGCAAGTATTCCAATACGCCAATCATATTTACGTGCGCGTCTTCTACTAGAAGCCACGGATGACTTAGATTCTGTGAAGGAAACCATAATAACGTGTTTGAAGTTTGAATGGTAGTACTGGCGTCCTATAGTGAAAGCAAGTTTCATAACTGGATAGAAGAAAATCTAAAAGTAATACGCACTCACTAAAACATGTATATTTTGTTTACTAATTGAACTTGATTTCTGGTTAAGATACATTATTATTCATTCAAAAATTCTCCGTTTCCGATTGGCTCAAACCCCACGGAGTATTCTTCATAACCAGCTAGCGTTGACCAAATTTTGAAGACGTTTGCAATATGTGAAAAATGGTTTCAAGAGTACAGCATAAATGCCAGAAAAATGGACATCAACCAAAACGCCGTGGGGAGTGAGGTTGCTCAGAATCGCTCGATAGACCTTTAGAGCTGCTCAGAATCAGCTCCAAATTTCACGCGAAAAAACAAACACACTTACATTTTACGCAGCGGAATCCACAATGTGATGCCTTAAGATCATCTTTCTGCAATCCGTTCCGGTAGATCTTGCGTCTGGGTCGCATAACTCGATCGAAAAGATCAACTACAGTTGAAAAAACTCAAACAGCTGATGCAAACATTTTTTTTAAATTTTCCTCCTTGCTGGGAGGTGGGTGCGTAGACATTTGTCTAAACGAAGAAATGTCACCCTCTATTATTGTTTGACGCCGAGCAACAAAACGGTTGAAATGTTACACTTTTATTAGACACGGATAAATGGCACCGGCTTTTGAACTGTGGTTGAACTTTTCGATCGAGTCATGCGATCGAGACGCAAAATCTACCGGAACAGATTGCAGAAAGATGATCTTAAGGCATCTTAGGGCATCTTAATTAAGATCGGGGTCTGAATCAATTCAGTCCGTCTAAATAATTTGGGTCGGTCTTAATTCGAATTAGGTTCGGCTCATGGAAAGTGCGGCGTCTGAACAAGGCCTTTGCAAATCGTACAGTTCGCTTTAGTTTTCTATTGCAGCGTTTGTTCGCTTTCGGTTTGTGCCTTCTTCCTTTCTTGATGTTCTCTAGTTTGTACTTATTACTTATCTCGATGGCCCTTTTCTTTTTCTTAATTCACGTTTCCACATATCTCTGTTCAGTGTGCAGTTTTGTAGTTTTAGTATATTATATTAAGTCCGTTATAGGTTTATTCTGATAGTGTTTATAGCTTCTCTGATATGAATTGTAAGTTACTTATTTGTAATTTTAGGTTATTTAAATCACACTGTTAGTTATGCCGCCCGCTTTGCTGCATTTGTAGTTTGTTTTTTTTTTGCAATTGCTATCAAATAAACGAGCTGCCTATTCCTGAGCTAATAGATTGAAAAGCAATTAGCATTATGAATGTGAGAACAATAAAATTCAATGCGCTAAAATTTGAACACAAATTAATAATTGACCCTATATGTTTATAGAAGAAAGAAAGGATCCAAGCCAAGGCAGCTCGAGACAAAGCAATGAACACATGGTCAAAGGGAAAGGAAGTTAAAGATCAAGTGAGTGATGACGAAGAATCAGGAAAAGATGAAGAGATATCTAAGGCATCAAAAGTTAGAAGGAAGAAGAGAAGAACAAGTGAGGCTCTACAATTTCTTTAAGTCAGATCTGAAAAATAGGCAGAAGCTAGGAAAAAGAAGTGTTTAAAAAAAGAGATGGCTGAAAAGGAAGCAGAAGCCAGAAGGGAGACAACTGCCCATAAACAAGAGACTCAGTGACTTCCCTTGAAGCAAAGCGCCAGGATCTTATGCAGCAAAAGTTACCAATGCTGCAGCAGCAAATGCAAACATTAATGCTTGCAGTTGTATCTAAACTAAACCAAAATGATAAGTAGCTTTGTTCATGCCGTGCACTTGTTGGATTTTCATTAGTGGACATTGAAATATAACTTTATGGACAGTGAAATTTAATAAACAAAAAACGTTATTTTCAAACATGGGTTTGTTGTTTGTAAAGTGTCTTCACATTAAAGTTGTGTTTAATTGACCCAGTGAGTCTCAATTCCCCCGAAATCTACCTTATCAAAGTTATCTGGTGCCATTCAGGATACTTTTATGACATTTCTATGCCAAGTATTGCAACAGTGAGGGGGAGTCTACCTCAAAAATGTTAGAAGTTGTATTTTTATACAAACATGCGAGGATGTTCCTGAAAAGAACACTTATAATGTATTGTTTACCTTGTTTACCTTCTGCACTCATCTCAAGTTTGAGATTTTTTTTATAATCCATGAATTTAAAGCTTTCAGCTGTATCGCTAAAAAGCTACTCTACGGATACACTGACTTCACTCATGGCGTTATAGAATGCCCTCATCTGTGGGGTCAGTGGGTTGTCACGGTAGGGACCCATCAAATGTGGTCGAAGAGGATACGGAGGATCTCCATAAATGCAAAGAACATCTCCAGTAGGTGTTAATGCCCTTCTTTGTAAGATGTTGATTAATATATAAACTATAGTATTTTTGTGGACTTTGTCTTTCTTTTTCTTTTTATTTCTTTTTTGTAAACGATAACAGTTACCTGTAATGAATTGTAAATGTAATGTATTGTAATTGTTTGTGTGTGCGAAATAAAATAAAATAATAATAAAAAATAATAATGATAAAAGATGTTAAGAAGCCCTGATTCTTCAAGCATCCCAGCATCATGACGCTGTCCTTCAACGGGTCCATATAAGTTAGCAACTAAACCACTGGGGATCACAACTGCCTGCAACTTAAGGGCGGGCACACGTTTGTGACCATTATACACCAAGTGCTGGTTATCACCAGGTCTTGAAATTTGACGTACAGTTCCGTCCACAAAACCAAAACAATTTTTCAGAGGACTCCCTTTTCTTGATATAGCTTGTGCATAAAGCTGAAGATTAGCAGGCGATAAAAAGGGCTGGTTGTTCCACGAAGTTAGTCGGTGAAAATGGTTTTCATAAATCCAGTATCGTAACGGCAAGGGCAGACTAGTCGTTTTAAGAGTAAACATAGTCCTTCTACACCTGAACAAAGTAGATTGAAAGAAACATATTTATTTCATTGCAGTCAAATATGCTTTAGTTTTGACATTTAGTGCAGTAGTATTATCTCAGTTATGAAAAAATAACGAAATGAGACAAGTGAAGTTGCGGACAGCTTTACCTGTTCCTTGAGGGCATCGAAAACTTTCTGGGACCTGTAAAGCGTTAGCCATTAAAGGGATATCTTCTTTGTCTACTCTAAATTCAGCTTTAGCTTCACTGCTGTCAAAGTTATCAAGGCTGAAAGGCTCGTATGCCAAGTGAGGAAAATTTAAATTCGTAAAGAAAAAGAAACTCTTCTTCAGTGATGATGCCATCAGAAAAAGTGCAAACTAAGGCTTCACGAGGTTCATGAAATGACATTTTTCACACGATGACCGTCGATAAGTGATTCAACCGTAGCAGCTTACTTGTTTACAATCTTAATCTCTTTTTTTAGGACTATTGAAAGTGAATGAAAAACTCGAAAATTATGATGCTGCTGTGCATGGGTACACTTTTTTTGTTACTAACCCCTTTTTCGTTTGTTAAACTATTTTAAAAAAATGATTGATGAGTTGTAACTGTATTAAAAAATATTTAGTCGGCACCAGGTAAACCATTTCAAAAGTTCACAACCCCGCAACCCGCTTCCCTCCCCCCCCCCCCCCACCCCAACTACACTTAAAAAAGGTGGTTCGGTTCGGCCCTCCGCGGGCCCTGAAAACCATTAAAGCCTTTTGGATATCACGCTGAGTACTAAGATTTTTACAGTTTAAATTTTGGAACAGCTGCGATGTATTTGCGTCATATCTTGAGAAGGTTAGAGCTCGCACTGCACGATTTTGGAGTTTTTGAAGTTTGTCTGCTAGTTTTATTCCACAGCTTCCCCAAACAACATTGCAATAGTCGAAATGCGGCTGAATCAAGGCTTTGTAGATAAGATGCAATGTTGCTGGGGAACAAATTGCCTGACCCGTTTGATAGCTGCAATACCAGAGGCAATTTTTTCAGCCAACTTCTCGATACGACTGCCCCAGGTAAGGTTTGCATCAATGAGTACACCTAGAGATTTTGACGTCGATACCTGGTTTACGAGAGTACCATTGATGCTCAGAACGGGACAGGCAGTTAGGGTGTTTAGCTTTTGTCTCTAGCCGATTAGGATAAACTCAGTCTTAGTCATGTTAAGTGTGAGTTTGTTGGCGATCAACCATTTGCTGATGTTTAGCAAGTCTTCATTCAAACAGGTTGGCAAAAATAACAGAGGACCCAGTATAGTCCCTTGAGGGATACCACATTGAAGAGAGCAGGTTTTGGAAAGTGAACCACTAACAGAACATATTCGACTTCGGTTTTCTAACTATGATTTAAACCAATTGAATATAACCTCCATAAATGGCGTTTTATTAATAATAGTACCTTTAAAAATTCTTCAGGCAAGCATTTTTCAACTTGAAACAAATTTCCCTCAATAAACTCCACATGTGGGGAACTTCTGGCTGTAGCATCCAATAAAGACAAATCGATATCAATTGAAATGACACGTGACTGACACTCAAATATCTTTAACATGTCAGCTGTCCACAAAGCCGAGCCACCCTTGTAGGCACCAAACTCAATCACAGTTTGAGGCTTGAGTTCCCATAGCAACTGCTGGTTTATCGTCAGACTTAAAGGATCTTTCAAAACTATTGTTCCTCGCCAATTCATCATATATTTTCCTAAAAAAATAACAGGAAATTATATTGTTTAGTTTATTGGCCGATTAGTTTATTAGTTGTAGAATATGTGAATAAATTAATTAACAATTATTTTATGAGGCTACAATTTCAGGCAAAAACCTTAAAACACTTTTGAAATTTCGCTCTCTTTCCATTCCCCCCCCCCCACCTCCCTTTTGCAATGTTGTTGTAGCCAAGTAACTTTGCAATCACATCTCAACATTGCAAAGGGAAAGGAAAGAGCATGGGTGTTTCAGGGATTTTTGGAGAGGGATCTGCATTATTATTTACATCATACAAAAGCCAAATTCAACACTCAGACCAACTCTGGCCCTGTTACGACAGCGAC